AAAAAAAAAAAAAAAAGGCAAAATTGAAACCTATTTGTTTAATGGCTGATGGGCGTTCCAAATGAAACTGGAGTTCAAGAACTGGGAACCTAACGTAAACCTAGCTGGAGATAAAGGGAACCAACGCCAATTGATGAATGCTTGAAGCCTTGAACCAAAACGAAGGTTGTCAGAAAGGGGGAGCGAGCGAAACGAGAGATAGAGATTAGAGACTGCGACAGAGGTAGAAAGCTAACCGGAATTGGGAAGATGAGTGAGCGCCGGAAGCCGGTGGGGTGGTGGTCGGAGCGTCGGAGGACGGTGCGGCGAGAGCGGCTGAAGCACTGAACGGGGAGTGGGAAGTGGGAACTAGGGTTGCAGAAGGCAGTGACTTGTTCCTGATTTCTCAAGCTTGAATGTATTTTTATCTTTTTTTTTTTTGGGTTAATTTCCAATAAAACCTTGACTTTTTCTCTTTTGGCAATTTAATCCAAACTTCTAGATAAATGCAAAATAATCTCAGCTTTGTATTACTTTTGCAAAATGGACTTAAAACCCGTCGGACAAAGCTAAGATCTGGCGGACATTGCTTTGTTAGAAGTGGGTTTTAAGTTCATTTTGCAAAAGTAATACAAGGCTGAGATTATTTTGCATTTATCTAGAAGTTTGGATTAAATTGCCAAAAGTAAAAGGTCAAGGTTTTATTGGCAATTAACCCTTTTTTTTTAAAGTTTACTTAATTGTAAATTCAAAATGTAAAATCACATAATACTAATGAGTGTATTTATTTAAAACTAAGTGTGTATCCGTGCAAGCTAGTTTTATTAAAGTAAGCATTTAAATTTGAATGATTTGATAGAAATGTTTGTATTGAAATAAATAAAATGTGACTTATATATTATTAAACACATCTTTGTACACAACATTATTTATTTGATCGTTTGATACATCGTCTATCGACATAAATTATATTAAGATTTGAAATAAGCTTAAATAAATAAATTATTTATTTAGCAGCATATATATAATTTTTTGTAAGTGTATGCTATCATTATTTTATTTTGTAAGTGTATGCAATCAAAATTAAACAAAACTCAAAATTTTAAGATGTTCTAATCCGATTTCATTTTGAATTGCAAATTAATATTATCTTACTCTATTTTATGTTTTAAAAAATTTTGAACTAAAAAAAATAATAGCCAAATGATATATGATTTTTAAATTTTAATTTTTAATTTGAAATTTGGCCCGATTTCTATGCAGTCTAATTTTTTTAATAAACATGATGTGTTGTAATTAGGTAAACATACATGTTATAGTATTTTGCCTTATTGAATTTTATGGTAAACATTTTTTTTTAATTATGAGAGAATTTTCACTTTTACAAAATTAACATGCTCATGCCGAATTTTACAAAATTTACACGATTTCTAAGCAATCTGATTTTTTAATAAACAATTAATTTGTTGGAATTAATAAAAAAAATATGTGACAATATTTTTGCCTATTTCGAAATTCCCGAATTTATGGTAATCAATTTTTTTTTAAATTAAAAATGAGAAAGAATTTTGACTTTTACAAAATTGTAAGCATGGTCGAAGTTTACCTAAATTAAATCCACAAAACCCATGAATTTAGGATGCATATATAGCTGATTGATTTTTTAGAAATAATTTAAAAATAAAAAAATAAAAATTGCCAAAAGTATGATGCAATAAATGTCTGTTGACTTTTCTTGTTACTATTTTTGGTAAACAGGTTGTTTCTTAGATAAATAGATTTCCAAGATTTTTTAATACTTAAAAATTATAGTATATTTAATTTAGATTTTTTAAGAATTTTAAAAATATTAGAGGTATTCATTTGAGGTTTTAAAAAGCCTTACAAACTAAGGTATTTAACTAATTTAAAACTAATTAATATTTTTTAAGATTTACTAGGATTTCAAAACAAAAAATATTATACGAAATCTCACTCTACGTCTCATCTTCAAACATAAGATTTAATGGGATTCTTCCAAAATTTGAAAATATTAAACTCATAATGTCATTTAAAAATTCCAAACGAATACACCCCTCTAATTTATAGCTGAATAGCTCAAAAACATTTTCTCTATCCCTTTTTCCCTTAAATTGTCGCAGAAAAAAGCCTAGCCTAGAAATTCGTCGAATGCCTTCTCCCAGCGAGACGCTCTGCGCCGCCGAGTGCTGGCCGTCCAAAAGTGTTGGATCTCTCGATCGAGCAAGGGCTTCGTCTCAATCGCAAGGTACCTTACAGGACATGAAGTGGTCCCAGCGTACGCGACGTGGATGGGGCGGGAAGCTCCAGCTGCTGCCTTGCGGTGGTCGGAGTCAAGGCTAGCCTCTTCTCTCCCCTTGATTCTGTTTTGTCTGGTGTGGGGCGGAGGGGTCACTGGTGGCTAGGGTTCGGGGCACCGATTGTTGTTAGTATAAAGTGCTGATGGATGAAGTGGTGGGAGGTTTGGGGCCTTTTTGTTTCTTTTCCTCCCATCTTTTCCTCACCGTCCTAGGGTTGGGCAATGGGGCTACCCGGTGGGTGTGGGTCAGTGGCTCGTCGGCCTTTGTTTGTCGGTTGAGATTGGTGTTTTGAGTTGATCTCCGTCACTAGTCCCAGAGTTGTCTTTTTGGGAAATGAAACGGAATTGGAGGCCCAACTCTAGTTAGGCATAGCGATACTGCAATTTCTGGTTCAGTTTTGGTTTGGGGTCTCTGTCTGTTTTGGGTGGTTGCTCTCGGGGTCAAATATGTGGAATTGTGGAGTAGTTTGTCAGCTGTGGAGGAGCATTTTTGTTTACTTTTGAGTTGGTTCGTAGCTTTTGTGTTGTCTTCTGGTGTAAATATGTCTTCGTGCTTGGTTCGTAGTTTTTGTGTTATCTTCTGGTGTAAGTATGTTTTCGTGCTTTCTATCCTTTTTGGCGAACACGATGACTTCAATGTCCGCCGTGGGGAATCAGTAAGCATGCCCCTTAGATATGAGTTTCATCATGTTAGAATCATTAAGCATGCCCCTATGATTGCTAATTTGTTTTTTGCTGATGATTCTATACTGTTTTGTAAAGCAAATACTTCTCAAGCTTTGTTTATCCTGAGTATTCTTGATGAATATGGTAGGTCCTCTGGCCAATTGGTTAATATGGAGAAGTCGTCAATTTTCTTTTTTGAAAACACTACTGTTAATGCTATCATTAAGACTTGCAATTTGTTGAATGGGATCTCTAGGGTTCATTCTTCCAGATACATGGCTTTGCCACCGAAAATAAAAAAAATAAAAAAAAATAAGAGAGAGGTTTTTTAATTTGAAAGTGAAAAGGTGAAACAAATAGTGTGCAATTGGAAAAATGGGTTTCTGAGTGAGGATGGTAGAGAGGTTATTTTTAGGTCATTATTAGATGCACTTCCAACCTTTGTAATGTCCTGCTTTAGAATCTCTGCCTCTATCTGTAAAACCATTTGTAGTGAAATAGCAAAATTTTGGTGGGGTCAAGGGGGGAGGGAAATAGGAAAATCCATTGGACTGCTTGGGATAATATGGTTAAACCTAAATAGAGTGGGGGTTAGGTTTTAGAAATCTTAGGATGTTCAATAAATCTTTCATTGTAAAACAACTGTGGAGACTGATAACCAAGCCAAACTTATTAGTCAATAGAGTATTGAAAGGCAAATACTTTTGGAATCAACAACTTATGGATGTTCAATGTAAAAATACTGACTCATGGCAATTGAGGAGTTGGTTGAAAGCTAGATAATCTCTAAAACTAGGGTTAAGGTATAGAGTGGGAGATGGTAAGAGTATAAACATTTGGCAGTCACCTTGGCTCCCATCTTAGCCATCATTATGGAATGCCAATTCCTTAGAGACAAAGATAGACTGCAGAGAGTAAATGATCTTATGCTGAACGATACCAGAGAGTGGGATGTTGAGCTAATCCCCCAATTCTTATAACCTTTAGATGCAAAAGTTACTCTTAAGATTCTTTTGAGTCACTGTGAGCAAAGGGATAAACTCATATGGCACTGCCATATCAAAGGAGTGTTTATTGTCAAGGTTGTCTATGAGTACCTGATTCAGTAGAGTTCAAAGGAGGAGGCAGGGGCTAGCACAAACCTTCTCACCAAGCAGACGTGGAGAACCACATCAAGGTTTCCCGTAAGAAGTAAGATTAAAAAATTCTTGTGGAAATGTTGGTTTGGTTTTTTGAGCACTAGTGTGAAGTTGCAAAAAAAGGTTTGAGATTGGATGTGTGGTGTCATGTGTGTGGAGAGAGAGGGAGGATCTAGAACATATCTTTTTCAAATGCTACAGAGCCAAGATCTGTTGAAAATTGGTGGGAATAAATTGGTATAGCTTGAAGTCATAAAAAGATTCCTTCAAAAATTGGTGGTTTGAGGTATGCTCCAGGGGCTGTGGTGAAAGTCTTTGTGACAGAATTAGTCTTTCAAACTACCTTCTTTGGTGGCTCTGAAAGACTAGAGATGGTTGGTTTTTCGAAAAAGTGTGGACATCTAAGGATGTGATTGTAAAGAGAGCTTGGGATGAATGGACGGAGTATTCTACAATCCTGGAGGCTAAAAGAAATCTAAGCAGACAGTTACAAATCCAGAACAAGTGGTGGCAATAATCTGAGGTGGGAGATTGTCACTTGGGAGTAGGGCATGCTTTATTAGCTGTCAGCGCTCTATCTACCACTTCAGGTTGGGTTGAGTCTTAGAAGAGGTGTTCTTAGTAGACTTGTCAAAACAAGCTTGGGCCCGCGGGCGGTCCTAACCCGTCCAGCCCTGCCAAATAGGTGGGTTGGACTGTAGTTTTAAAGGCCCGCCAAAGAGCGAGCCTAAAAGAGCTCGCCTGCGCGGGCCGCGTGTTTTGGCGGGGCGGGCCGTGGGCCAGCCCACCAAAAAAAAAACTAAAGTAAAAAAAATACTATGAATCCAACGTGGGATACAAAATGAAATTATAATGGGCAATAAAACATATGGACAATGTAAAGTATTTATATGCAAGTTAAATTCACCAAATTAGAAACACAAAAGTGACCATACGTGTGTTGGTATATGTGTCCTAGAGACAATCATTTTAAGGACATATATACATGGTCACATTAATAATTATATTGAATTATAATTATGGTATTGCAATTAATTAAATAATTGTTTGATTGTTTGCAATTTATTAATTAATTGCTCCCTTGAGTTGATATTATCGTTAACAGAGTGAGATGTTAATTGATAAAGTATAACTCTCAAATCGTCTCAATCGATGATCATTAAGAAAGGGATATTAATGATACACGATAGATTGACATGTAGTCTGCATCATATTCTTGGAGAATATAGTATGCCTCACTGCTATGAATAATTGATATTCGTGATGGACACATGGATACTTTGGAGAGTATTGGCATACCCTACCGATAAACTATTTGTTTATGTGTCAATGGGAGTATCAGTGTGTGGAATGGTGTAATAGTCCTTTGGTTTGAGGTTAATACGCAACTCATATATATAGTGATTTACTTAGACCTAGTCCAACACTTACGCCCTTATGGGTAGATACGGGCTTGTGTTGGGTAGATCACGATATACATGGAATTGGTAGTTAAGCCAAGATAGGATTCATTCTTCGAATATAGTTCCGAGAGAACACTCGTTTTCTCTATACTGGGTTGATATAGTCATTGGCCAATGCACATGATTATATTTGAAATGATGTTCAAATATAGTTGATAAAATCAACCAGTGAGATGAAATAAAATGATTAAGCTGTTTGGATAGACACACGTTCAAGTCCTAAGCTTAATCGAGTGGGTCGTGAATGAAATGATCGCATCACTATTGAATTCTACACTAAAGGTTTGTTTGCTTGTCCATGTAAACGTACTTCATATTTTGAGTTCGTCCTTTGACTCAGTCTAGGAATTTCGTAAGGATCATAAATCAGATTTATGTCAATATATGAAGGCCTATAGGGTCACACAATATGCAATCAGTTTTCCGACTAAGAGTGAATCGAGAGTGTTAAATATTCAATTAGATTGAAATATTTATTTATGAGTAATGAGATTATTTTCTATTTGATAGAAAATATTTAATTAAGTTAAATTAGATTTATATTTAATTAAAAATATTAGTTGGATTAGGTCCAATTACCTATTGAGCTCTAGGGTATCCTAAGGCCCATATAATTAGGTTTTGACCTAATTATAAATATCTCATTATCTCTTCATAATCATCAATCGATGGAATGATAAAAGAGAGAAGAGATCCCAAAACACCTTAGAGATTGAGAGATTAAGATTAAAACATTCCTAGCTTTTTGGATCGAGGTTTTCTAGCCTCTTCACCAGAAGGAATTCATTGGCGTTAGATCGTGCATCGGGAAACTGGATTGTGTGGATACCATAGTCGAGGACAAGATGAATAACTGTAAGTTTTCATGTATCATTCACGCGATCTAGGATCATATCGAATAGCTATAGCCGGATCTTCGTTGTTGGTAATAAAATTTAAAATTCCGCTGCGTGTGCGATTGATTCGCATGACTAAAATCCAACAACGTGCGTTCAGTGCACACATCTGTAAAGTACTGAACTTGTGGCTTAATCATGTTCGTGCACACTTTTGTTGATCTTAATCATGCTATGTACACATACATGGGCAAACAAAATCCAACAATGTGCAACAATATTTATCAACAGACATTTGCTTCATATAACATGTTACAAAAGAACAAATCATTATTCCCTCTGTTGGGAGGTTTTTAGTTTGAGGCAGGCTATGGAGTTCGAAAGGGAAACCAACTTTTTGCAGTGCTCGTAACCAACGGCCTGCGGCGGGGTTAGATCAGACTGTCCTTTCACAGGCCCGCTGAGATGGTGGGTCGACCAGTCCCGCCCCACCAAACGACAAGTTTTGGAGGGCTGAGGGCCGGCCTGCACCACCGACCCATTTTGATATGTCTAGTTCTCAATGAGGGGATTTTGATCCATAGCTGGTTTGAAGCTCTGACTTTTGCAAGCACTAAGGAAGAAGGCACTTCATGCAATTAGATGGCTACTTAAAAGAGATGTACAGTGCAAGCTTCAGTCTATCAGTTGTTTTGTTGATGACAAGGGACTAGTTTCAAGACGCAAGAACCATTCAACTGTGCCAATGGCATTATCGTTGGTGACATTTATGCTTTCTTAGCTTTTTTAGGGTTTGTTCTATTGTTTCTAACGTTCCTGTGTGTTTTCTGGTTAAAATGTTAGCCAAAGTGGCTGTGGAGGGGAGGTGATTCTTTGCCTTCCCATGTGAAAGTGTTTAAGTTGTCTAGAATTACTCTCTTTTTATGATGTAGGAGAAAACGTACGAATGGGAAGATAAAAGAGATACTCTCTCTCGATAAACCACACAAGAACAAATTTCTTATTTCATATTCAACTGAATAAAACAATAGAGGATGAGTCCTTTAAATAAGGCTCCTAAAACCTTAATATTAACTTGTCCAACAAGACAAGAATCCTAACAAAATATATAAATAAATAAGTTTCCTACCAAATCTATAATACTACTACTAATAATAATAATGATGATAATAATAATAATAATAATAATAATAATAATAATAATAATAATAATAATAATAATAATAATAAAGAGGGAAACAAATAACAAACATCCTTATCTCCATCATTCTCCCCCTGTCGTAAATGATTCGCCCTCGAATCCGAAGCAATCTTGTCTTCAACTGCTCCATAATCCTGACCGGGCCAATTTGACGGGCCATAAACTTGGTATACTCACAAGCAAAAAATCTATGACAACAACTCTCAACTTTGTCCTTTTTAGGCACACTATGCGAGTTATCAGACATATATGCTTGTTGAATAAAAGACCAAGAAAATCCATCTCCCAATTCACTAAAAAAAAATCCATTCCAGGCACAACCTTTGGCCCCACATATAATTCTATAACCACATGGTACT